ATATAAACTCATGCATGCAAAGAGTGAACATGCAAACTCTACTCAAAAAAGTCTCTGGGCCAGGATTTGATCTGGCAACCTTCTTGCTGAGAGGCATCAGCTCTACCAACTGAGCCACACTGTCGCTCAATTTGATAACATGTTGCATAAGTTTTTTGTATTTGTTTGTAAAGACTGACATGTTAAAACTAAAATGAAATGTTTTTGTTTTTACTGTTTATGTTTTCCTTTATCGCCTACATCACAATTTCACTTATTTATATAACTACTGTATATTCTTGTCCTAATTAGCAGTAGCAGCTAATTAAAATATAGAATTTACTGCTCTTCACAATGGGTGAAAACATGACTTAAACAGAATTAAGAATATTGTTAGTTTCGGCCCTCCTTTTCAGCTCATGTTTCTCGTGATCCCCGGAAAAAAAAAATGTCGACCCCTACTGTAATGAGTCTTAAGAACAAAATAAAAACTAGAACTGTCAAGCAGTTATGACCGGGGTACAAGCCTTTTTATCCATGTTGACCTCGGCCCATGTTGTCCCCAGCACGCTTTCAACGTGTGCACCACAGAATTTTAACATGAGGAGTATGTATAACATCTATTTTATGTCTAATGTTTTAAACAGATCTAGGTCTCTAAATATAGGTTGCTATTAGGGATGCAACAATACATGTACCTGTATCGAACAGTGCTATATCGAACAATACAGATTAAAAAAATTACTTTATCAACATGTCTTCTGAAGATGCTCTGTGTTGAAGGATCAGTGGATCTGTGTTCGACTACTCCACCTAGGCTGCATATTTGAGCACAGATCCACTGAGAAACTTGCTGTTTCAGCAACATTTAATTTAAAAACTGTACTTTCGAGGTTAAACAAATGTTGATAATTAATATAAATAAATTACAAGTTAAAAGGGGCATGGAAATTTCTCTTTTTTCGTATCGAAAAAATATCGAACCGTGAGACTAAAGTATCGAACCGAACTGTGAATTACTTGTATCGTTGCACCCCTTGTTGCTATTGTGGTGGCACGATTTACCAAGAATGCAGAAACACGTTGGAATAAATGCACAGCAAGTCTGCGTGTATGGTCGTCAAATGACTTAATTTGAGCAACAACAGAGCAGAAGTCAATCAGAGAAGTCTGTCAGGTTGTGGCTGACTCGTCAGCGCAGAGCAGCCGATGATATAACATCCCGTGACATGCTTACAACCAATCACAGTTCACCAGCTGTAAACCATCTAACCAATGACAGAGCTGTCAGCCCGGAAACACCTTATCAAAATAAAAGAGGTCAAGCATTGCTGGAGTCTTGAAGTCTGGGCCGATAGAGTAAAACAGCCAAAACTAGTTATCATGAGATATGATTACTGGACAGTGTCAACGTAGAACAGATATACATAATTAATCCACAACACTACATATCTATATGGTCTCTGTTGCCTTCTCTTTTGTCTTTTTACTGACAGCTGCAATATTAACATCTATAGATCAATATACCGACTGTACCTCCTCTGGTCATTCTAGCATTATTTCCCAATTGTTCATCTGTAATGTACTTCTGATTTTCAAATTACTGATCCTAATCATCTTTCTTTCTCCCAAGTAGAATATCAACATCTTCAACTCGTCCACTTCCATTTCTTTGTTAAAGGTCAAAGGAAAAAACACCCCAAAATATGTATTTTGCATGATTTGCATTCATCCATCCATCCATTTTCTGTACACGCTTCTTCCTTTTCAGGGTCGCGTGGGTCACTGGTGCCCATATCCAGCAGTCACAATGTTTTATTTTAAATTGTAATTTAAATTATTCACAACTGTAATTAAAAAATATTTAAAAAAATACAATTTTCCACCAGCTAAACAGGGCTACCGAGGAGAGCCAAAACTCATAATTTTAGTTTCTAAGGTAAACAGTTGTTGCTGTTGGACGTCACAGATGTCAAACAATCCAGCTTCTAACACATCTGTCTTCGACACTGAATCAGATTTTGCTACTGAACTAAATATAAAAATCGTCCAGCTGTATCAAAATGAACCAGTCACACAGAGTGAAGAAAATAAAGAGGAATGAGTCCCAGACTGGAATCCATACGATCCGACTCTAACATTATTATATCTGTTGCTGTGGATTTTCTGTAATCACAAAAAGGGAAATTAAAGGAACAAAAGCGAAACAACTGGACTTCTGTTCTGTAGGTGACACTGTGTGGAGTTTCAAGATTTAAGCTGCACAAGTTTGGCATGCAAAAGTTCAGGTTTTCCAAATCCACTTCAAAACAACACTCCTTGACACGCGTCCACTACAGACTTTACATGTAAACCTGACGCTCCTGATGCTCAAATTGTGTTTGGTGTGAGCGCAGCATTAATACAAGCTTTGTTAGTTTTACATTTTAGTCCTCAACTTTAGTAA